ATATATATATATATATATATATATATAAACTTCGAGGTTTCAGCTAGTGTATGTGGCATTTAAGGTAATTGGGAAGGTGGAAACTGTGACCTAGGTTTATATATAGCTATGCATACAGCCACTGCCAAGGCAAGGCCACTTTCTTGTAAGAAATAAGAATAACATGTTTCAGAAAATGACACAATCATGCTTCAGTGTTGTATGTTTCAACTTCTTAAATGCACCAACTTTTTTTAACTTTTCGTTGAAGAAAGAAGTTAATAAGCTTGGAGGGTCTATACAACTAGATGCTTTTGTCTTTTTTGCTATTTTTATCTTAAGTTCGGTTTACACATAGTTTTGGGCGAAAGCTTGTGGTTATACATGTACAAGCAGTCATGCACATATGTTTTTTTGTGTATGGGAATAGGATTAAATAATTACTCCACTATAATGCTTCTATTAATAAAATTGTTCCAGAGCTCTTTTGCTTTCACTTTTGTGGAAATGGGAAGATTTTTTTGATGGAGATTATGATATGCTTATAGTATGATAAGAATATTTCACCCTTAACTAATTTGTCAATCAAAATTGTCAATTTCTTACAATTGTTGCTTGTCTTATGCGGTGAAATGATTTGAATGTGAAACAGTGAAAGCATAAACAGGTGTAAAAAATTCTAACCAAATAGGACCTTTGGTAATTTTTTACATATGAATGGGATGAATCAGTGCTGTTGCTTTAGTTTCTCATATAATGGACGTTTGTTTCTTGTGTTATTTAATTTTCCTTTTGAAATGGGTTCCAGAACTTGCTGTTGGCAATGTTGTGAGGCGTGTTCTACATATCATTAGGGAAGAGGATCTTTCTCTCATGACATCTGCTATTGGTGGGCCGAGCTTATCAGTCATTAGTGATGATGAAAACGATGTTGATCGAGATGATTACCCAGTTCTATCAGCTGCTGCTGTTGCTGCTTCTGCTAGAAATGCTTTGAGAGCTCCATCCTTGCAGACCCTTCTAGAGGATATGTCTCATTCTGCAGCTGTTCATCACTCTTCCTCTTCTGTAGATGATTCTGAAGAAAAGACCAAATGTTAGTTCTTGGCAACCTTCAATGTAGAAACTCTCTTTTGTCTGATGTATGGAGTTGGTAGCATTTATTTCTTCATTAAATTGCTTTAGCTGTAACTTGTTCATGACTGTTATTTTAATACACTACAGCTACTGATAAAAATTCAAGGAGTCGAAAGCTAAAGCATAATGTTATCGAGACTGTCAATGAACTTATACAAGATATTGCTGCCTGTCATGAACAGATTGCTGAGCAAGCAGTTGAGCATATTCATCATAAGTATTCTTTCTGAACACTTACTAAAAAGTTATATTGTTAGGAATATATGTATGTTCTATCACTCTTATGTACAACTTGCTAATATTGGATTCTATTACTTGAACAATAAATTTAATCCAAGTAGTCTGGTACTCTGGTCAAATTCTGTTAATCTACTAGTCAGTATGAAGGACATATTCTTCTAGAAAATTGAGATTGTGTTCCTTGTGTTCTATAATACGTGATCCTGCTAGAAACACTAGGCATTTTGAGTGCTGAAAATCATCAAACATACACACTCACACACTAACCGTAGATATTGAATTATCACACAAGGCAATTGAAGTACAAGGGGTCCACTTCCTAAGAAAAACATGACGACAAATGAAAAAGAGAAAACTGGGTTGCATTAAATCATTGTATAAGGCAATAAGGGGGTGTGTGGTTCGCATAATGGAATTTGGTGGAATTGGAATCCATTAAAGCCATTTAAGGAATTTGACTTTGAAGGAATTAGAATGGAATTTGACAACGCGTTTGGTTCGATGGAATTAGAATGGAATCTCTCAAAAGAATTGGAATCTCCATCTTTGTTTGAAGGGAGGGTGGGGTGGTAGCTGTGATGATGACAATAATGGCCTGGTGGCAGGGGGTGGGGTCGAACCTGTGCCTACCCTCCTGCTCCCACCCCACTGACCACTATGGCACTATTGTCGTCGTCACAACTTTCACCCCGGATCCGCCCCGCCCATGCCCCACCACCAATACCACCAGACCACTATTGTCGTCATCATAGCCCCCACCCCACCCCACCGATCACCATACCGCACTACTGTCGTCGTCAGAACTACCGCCCCCAAACCCTGGCCCCAAACCCTACCCGCCTCGGCCCCCAGGAGGTGGTAGCTGTGATGATGACAATATTGGTCGATGGGGTGGGGTTGGTCGGTTTGGTGCTCGCCACCACCCCACTTATGCCAAGGAATGATGAATACTTTAATTTCTGGAATTCAATGGAATTGAAAGTATTCCTATATTTTCATTATGTGAACCAAACATAGGATTTGGAATTTGGTCAAAGGAATTATCCATTCCAATTCCTTCAAAATCCATGAACGAAACACCCCCTAGGGTCTTAATTTTTCTTTGCCTGGTGTAGGGTTCATGACCTTTTAGATCTGCCCCTTTAGCACATTAGAATTTCATGTTTTTTCGTAACTGACGATCATGGGACGATGCTTGTATAATACATGCAATTGCAGTTTGCAAGACATATCAACCATCCTTGACTATGTCTGGTGTTTCTCATCTGCTAGTTGATATATACATAATTTCATCTACCTGATAACATCAGAAATTGTTCGCAGTGAGATTATATTGACCTTAGGAAGTTCGAGAACTGTCATTGAATTTCTTTGTGCTGCAAAGGAGAAGAAGAGATCATTTCGGGTGTTTGTAGCAGAGGGCGCTCCAAGGTCTGTGCATGTGTGTATGCTATTTTTTTTAGACTTGTTAAGGAAGTGGCAAATTTAATTGTCCACATCACCTTTTTTGGTCAATGCACTCTTTTCATGTTATTTCTCAAATAGATATGAAGGACATATTCTTGCAAAGGAATTGATAGGCAGGGGACTACAAACAACAGTAATTACCGATTCTGCTGTATTTGCCATGATTTCTCGTGTGAACATGGTATGTGATGAAATCAGTTGCTTATTTCATGACTATCAAATCATCTCCTTCCTTGAGTCTGATTGAAATTGTTGATAGGTTATTGTTGGGGCTCATGCTGTCATGGCAAATGGTGGAGTGATTGCACCTGTTGGATTAAATATGGTTGCACTAGCAGCTCAAAGGCATGCTGTCCCTTTTGTTGTTCTTGCTGGCATTCATAAGGTAAGCATATAACTATGCATCATAATAGTTTTAGTTCTTCTGTGGGTTTGGCACATTACAATTCTTGTATGAGCAGGGCATGTATCCTTCGTGCTATTGTGTTTGTGTCGTCCTTGTTGTGTTTGCATCTTCTGTTCATTTTTCCTTCACCTTTCAAATAAAGAGAACAGGGCCATGCATCTTTATCCACTGGTGGGTTTAAAAATTTCAGAGTAAACCCATAATATTATAATGCAGTTGCAAGTGAAACATTGAAATTGTTAAACTGGGTATTTCGTTTTTAAAATTTCAAAACAAAACCTTTCATTAAGACTCCCTCTGTTTCGATCCTGTTTCCACCCTAGAATGATTACAAATATATCTCTATTATGACCTTGATATTCATTGGGGAAGTTAGAATACAATAAATAGAGGGGACAAAAATGTGAAGTGAGAACTGAAAGTTGAAATAACTTTTTATTTGATGGCGGGGGCATATATCTGGAGGATAATATATGGACTTGGTATTCAGTGTCTTACTTGGTCACTTTCATGTCCTGGTTAGTGTGGCAAGTCGAACAGAGCACATATTTTGGGATTGGGGAATACTTGATCAGTAGGTAATACATTTTATGTTTTCATAATTGTAATGTAATAACTTGATAAGAATAATAGATAATCAAGCATAATATGTATTCTATTTATTAAAACAAGGTAAACATCATCTTGAATAGCTAAAGTTGGTGAGCCAAGAGATCAATCTAATATCTGCTTTAAGCCATAAGTTTAAAATTTTAGTAACTAATTCCATAATTGAAATCGTGAAACTATATATCATGTTTCATCTTGTATCCCTAAATGTAATTTTCAAACAAGTTTATATATTCTCAGTTACTTACACCATTCATCATATTATCTTTGGATTCTCTCATAAAATTTGAAGTTTATAGAACAATAAACTATATTGTTCAATATAAGCTCTCTATTAGATAAAACAAGAACAATCAAGTATGAATTTTGTATAAAGTCTACCTCATGCACTGTGTTTTCATGTATCTGGGATATCTTGTTTGATACTGTAGCTTCCATCACCTAAATATCAACTTCCCAGGAGACGAGGGATCTTATAGTTCCTCTCTTAATGCAATAATATATGATCTGATTGAACATGCTTGTTCTCTCTACAGCTCTACTGAGGGCTTTTTTAAAGTATATAATATTTAATATATGGCAAAACTCACATACACTCCCCACCTTGGTGAGGCTTGAATCCTTGACCTCCAGGAAGGTTGGGTTATTGGGTACCGCTGCAATGGCCCTTTGGTGAAAGGGGTTTGTTCTAGTCACATTAGCAACTAATGGCAAGCATTTACAACAAATTGGCAACTTATATTCAATTGTTTAACTGTGTTTGGGCTTCATGACAGTTGTGTCCCCTGTATCCTCACAAACCAGAGGTTTTATTAAATGAACTGAGGGCCCCATCTGAGTTACTGGATTTCGGAGAGTTCTCGAACTGCATGGATTCCAGTACAGGCACTGGTTTCCCCCTTCTTCATGTTGCAAATCCTGCATTCGACTATGTGCCGCCAAAGCTCGTCAGCCTATTTATTACTGACAAGTAAGTTCACTATATTTCAAGAATGGCATGGGGTTAAAGTATTAATGTTCAGATTTTCGTTTTTGTCATTCAACTAGGCATTTCTCTAGTTGCAATGTTTAACCCCAGAACCGAAGTATTCCTAATCGATATCTGTGAATTCCCGACATTTTGTGGTTTGTATACAACACAATGTGAACTCACTTGCCATTAAGGGTGTGTTTGGTACATTGGATAGGACAAGACAAAACTGGAATCCCTGTTCCGTGTTTGGCAGAACTTTAATGTGGAACAAACAGGAACAGAGTGGAACAAGCCTGTTCCATCCCCACTCCATGGAACAAGGTGGAACAAACCTATATTTTACCAATATAACCTCAAAATAAAACCTAATTCTTTTAAAAACATAAAAGACACATCACTCTTTACATATTATTCGTTCTTTACATTTTATTTATTTTGTTTTATGTTCTTTAAACTTTCACTTTACCGTCCTCAAAATAATGTTTTTATACGTTTTCTATATTTTGATTAATTTATTAAATATTGAGAATAATTGGAAACTACATGAGCCTTTTATTATGGTGACATTTTAATCATTTTGATGGAACTTTCTAATGATATATTTTGTTATAAAAAAATATATTTTTTATTATAATTTAATAAATTACATAAATTAAGAAAAAAAATACAAAACATATAAATAATTTATTAGGGGTAAATTGGTAATTTTACTAGTTCTGTCCTGTCCAGTTATGTCTTTCCAAATGCTGAACAATTGTCTAGTACTCTTACCAAACGTTGAACAATTGTTCTGTCCTGCCTTGTTCTATCCTATCTTGTCTGGATAATTGATACCAAACACATCCTAATATAATACCAGCGCTTACTACTCTACTTATCATTTTCATCGTTGGGTACTATTTACATTCAATCACATACTTTGTCCTGCTAAAGTTCTTCTGTACTTCCCATGTTGTTACCTTGATGTCCCTGATTGATGTATATTCAACCAATCTCATCTCTTTGCAGTGGAGGGCACAACCCATCATACATGTATCGGCTCATTGCAGATTATTACTCCGCTGATGATTTGGTCTTACAACGGAAGCCTGCTTCTTGATATTGCTTTATCCATGTCATTTTTTCATTCATGATGAGTAAGCCATCCTGTGCTTTAAGTAGTCTCTTGACAATGTATGGATAGAATATGTGGTTGGCCTTCCATAATTACACACACTTCCAATGTCATATGTGCAAAGGCTCAAACTGGGTATTAGGATAAACATTAGGACTTCAATTTTTTCTTAGGACTTTTCCTGGCTGTTCTATAACACCCTAGTTTCTATATATTTTAGATTTCGGTGTTTTAAAAGTATTATGATCAAATCAAGTGCACTAAAAAGGCACCTGCAACATTAACATCTTTAAATCATCATATCTTAAATGACAAGTAGCTTACAACGCAAAGCATGAGAAATCAAACCTAAATACTTGACAAAGCAAGCTTGTTATGAGTTGTTAAGGCTAGAAGCATGTGTTGGCAAAATTCAAGCAAGTCTACTAAGCATGACAAAGCAAGCAAGTTGAGTTGTAAGGCTAGAAGTATGTGTTGGCAAAATTATTGATGACAAAGTAAGTCTAGTAAGCAAGACAAAACAAGCTAGTTATGAGTTATTGATGACAAAGCAAGTCTGGTAAGTATGACTATTAAAAGCTAGAAGCATGAGGTGTCAAGCTTGGGGAGTTAAAACTCTCATAAGAGTACAACCATGAGAACAAGAAGAAGAAGTAGGTAATGCATTGTAATTACCTATAAATAGTGGTTGAAATGAAACCATTGTTTCCATACCAGAGTAAGAAATTACTCTCGGTATAATACCAAGTTCGAAGTAAAAAATCAAAAGAAAAGGTAGGTGCAAAACAAGGTGAGTACGTTATGAGATTTACCGAGATACATATATGCTATATAAATGTATTTTATGCGTTATGAAGAATTTGAAAAGGTGTTTTGGCATGTTTGTTCTACATGAAATGAGGATATGTTTATATAGCCAAGATATATGCATTTTATATGTGTTTTACACATAAGGCATGAAAGTTTTATGCATGTTACGTATTACCATAAATATCCAACATACGAGATATAGAATGAAGGGATGCCTTGCAAAAGGACCTTAGGGGGCAGCCTTTATGGACCCCGGGTTTAGCAAACCTCGAGGTTACATGTCGCAAGTGAGATCTCAAAAGAGTATTTTTATGCATGATAAAGAGTTTTGGTGAATTATTATTCACAAATTGATAAGTATTATGAAAATTGTTCATTCATGAAACCATAACTACTCATTGAAGCTTAAAGCTTACGTGTCTCATGTATGTATCTCAGGGAAGGAGTAAAGAGGGATAGCGTGGAGATGTACTATTCTAATCAATAGCAAATTTTGTTATATTATAAGTTATCGAGTTACATTTCCATTGATGTTTCAACTCTGATGTAATAGCAAGATACGAGAGAAAAAACGTTAGATTTAGTTCGCATACAAGATTTAGTAGTATCAAAAGAAGTAACGGCATCCATATAGGATTTGAGGCGTTACATGTTCAACCGCAGTTGACAGTTTTAACCAGCCTAATGAAGACCCTCAAGCAGGCTGAGTGTTTTAGATGGTTGTTTTTTTTGCTAATTGGCACCTATTTCACACAGACGACGTGAATAACTGCTAATCATTGTATAGGCTGACAACCACGAGACATATGGCCCTAAGTTTTGAAAACTTTGAATTTAAGTTACAGAAACAGTGTCTTTGCAGAAATCTAGAGAAGCTGCATACGAAGATTTGTCTTAAAAAATCCTCTCAAGATGTGGAACCTGCATTGAATTTTCGATCTCAAAATGCTTCTTATTACAGGTACATCTTTTCTGCAGCCTTTCGTCATTTGGTTGCACCATTGCAGTTGTACTGTCCTTTAAAAAACCAATGGTATCTATCATCTAGATTTATGTTTGCAAAACCAGGTTTTAATTTACTTCTCATTTATAATGAATCTAATAGTAGCAGATTCTGCCATTTGCTTGTGATTGGATGTATCTGATTTCAAATCATTTAGTTTTTGTTTTGCAAGCTGAGGTCTTCATGGAAAGAGCCTCTTTACCTTTTGAGGCAGAAGCAAGATCTGCATACATCCTACTGTAGACCCTACATCTGTGTGGAATTAACTGGGTTTTTATGGTTTGATTTGGTTTACAAGCCTCTTTGCAAAGTGTTACAGGGTCCTACAGACAATTGCACAATGTGTTGAACCAGATCTATATCTTCAGTTTGTTTATTTTGATCAAAGAAACATGTGAGGCACCTTTCAAATTTACCAAATTTGCCCCAATATATATTGCTACTTCTAGAATTTAACATTATTTCATCATGTATGATGGGTACACTTTTTGTTGCTTGATATTAATCCGGAAACGTTATTCGTGCATGTCAAATGTATCGGCACCAAGGACGCTTGTTTATTTTTAGAATCTATTCTATAAACGTTTGCCGATGTCTTGTTTTAGTTGTAGTCGTGGTCTATAGGGTCCAAGTACGTAACTATGGCATTATTGAAAGTCATGTTTGGTTGTTTATAAGGTGGTTTAGAGCCTCTTTCAATGAGAACTGCAAATATTTTGAGAACCATCGAACTATGTTTTAGCGTATATATTCATTCTCAGTGACACAATACAAAATATTCATTGATGAAATTATACATACCTTGATGAAATTTGTATGATATATACATATTAATGAATTTACACTATAAAATTAGTTCATTGGTTTTCAAATTATTTGCGGTTCTCAAATGGACCCTCCGTAGTCCCCGCTTGGTTTATACGTACTGCAAGTAATATTTCAATAAGCCAATGGATTTTTTCCTTCCAATTTCACCGTTTATAATTTTCAACTAATTTACAGTATGTTTTTTTAGATTATTTTATATTGTCATTTAGTTTATCAGCTATTTTTATGTTGATATTCTAGTCAGATTTGTAAATTTATAAGCTAAAAGTTGTAGCTTATCAACAACTCCATCATGGTTTCAAATTGGGTCTGAAGTTATTACGTCAACATAATGCTTTCAACTTTGGGACGTTTGGTGGTTCGATGATATACAAAGTGAATTCAAACCCACGTAGTTGCATGTTGCTTGTTCGATCTCACATGGCCATTAGATTTAGAAACCCACATGCATATTGATATTCACGGAAAAGCCTTGCAATTTATAGGGTTTACTTTGATTGTCAGAAACTCAATAAAAGCTAATTAAACAAAAAAGAAAAAGAAAAAGAAAAAATGGGAGAGTTAAATGCAATTTACATATTGTTAAATGCATTTCTGCCTACCAATTTTTGTTTTACATATATTAATATCAAAACTTACTTTATATATTTTAATGTATGATTTGATTTAAAAAAAATAAAAAATTACAGATTAGCCAAAGAAAAACGATGGGTAGCAGACAAATGAGTACTAAAACGCAGAGCGGTGGGTTGGAAAGTTGCAGACAATGGATTCATATCCACCACATACCACCTCCTCTACACATTATGCTTTTAACTTTTTTCATCATTAAATAATTGTTTTATTTTTATTTTTTTATTTAAGACCGTCCCTTAGCATATTAAATCCGAAAATTTTGGTGCCCAAATTTACATGTGTTTAGGTCTTTTTATCGACCTATGTAAAACTATAGCCGGAGTTATTAAAGTTCAAACCATTAATTGTTTGGTTTTATTCAAATCATTAATGGTTAAACTTTAGTTTCAAATTGTTAATCGTTTTAGGTTTAACCCATTTTGTTCTTAACATATATTGTCTGTTATCTTATTTATGCAATGTAATCAAACATTCTTGATGTAACAGAGCCTCCAAAAAAATAAAAACGTCGATATTCTTATTTATTAGTATTAGTATCAGTATCATAATTCAAATCAGCAACTTTAATAAGTTTTTATTATCTTGTTTTTTTATTAAAACTATTGATAATTTTACAAAAATTATATGTATTTTGAAAAGTAAAGAATATAAAGCAGACAAGCATGTGTGTTTCAGTTTCGGTGTGTAGGTGAAGTGGTATATTGAGTTGTCAATTCACATTTCTCCTAATGCCAAAATCCAAAGTTATATATATATATATATATATATATATATATATAATTAACCTAGATATCCAACCCGTTATACGAGCCGACTAATTCCAGAACGACCACCTGCTTTGCAGATAACCCAAAATAACCGCATTTGAACCTCCGTGGCCACAAGGAAATTTGTATAACCCTTGTGTTTTGTATCTGAATAAGATCATTTCATCCTTTTACCAAATGAGTTGCACGTTAAAAAAGAGAAAATAAAGTGTTGATGTTGTGGTTCTAAAAGAGGATATCACGTATTTTATTTTATTGTACCTTGGGTGTGATTGATTATTTAAAAATTAATAAATCTAAAAACAGTAATAGAAATCTTTTTGTTTGTTTTTTTTAAAATATTCTGATGAATAATTAAATAATATCATTAAAATACAAGATTGATCATGATACTATTTTCATAATATTCACTAATATATTAATTATTAGAAAAGCAGATGGGAATAGAAGTATTTTTATTTAATTTACAATTAGATTTGTGAGTAGAAAAGAAAATGGGTTTGTTTATAATTTATAAATTAAAAAAAGTAGTAAATAATTATTAATTAGAGAATAAAAATTGTCTATATAAACACCCTCATATTCCATCTATCTATCACATCTCTCTCTCTCTCTCTCTCTACACACACACACCACACAGTATTTCTTTAGTTTTAGAGGTGAAGAAGATGAGACCTTCCATGAAGCTGTTTGCAACAGTGTTGCTTCTTGTCATGTGTCTGATGGCAAATGGTATATAAATCAACTATCCCTTACTTACTTACTTACTTACTATGTGTGTGTGTATATATATATATATATATATATATATATATATATAATATGTGGGTTGTGTACAGAAATGGTGGTGGAAGGGAGGACTTGCGAGTCGCAGAGTCATAAGTTCAAAGGGACGTGTGTGAGCGATAGCA